CAGCCCCATTTCCATGTGTAACTTCTCACTGCCTCCATCTGGAGATGGCAGAGGATTCATCATTAATATCTTTCCTTTTCCTCTTCTTGATTTGTGCCCTGCCCCGCCTCCCCTGAAGTGACTCAAACTTTCTGTCAGTCTAAGTGCAAGACTATTTTTACCACAATGTTTGGGAATCTCTGGGCACAAACTGTCTGCAGATTGGGTAGGTTACAGGTGCAGGGGTTCATGTTACTCATTTAGTAGCCACGAGTTTAGAGTACTAATCTGCCTCTTCTGAATTCTGCCTTTCAGTCAGCAGGCCCTTCCTCTACCGTTTTACTCTTTAGGGCCACTCACTGTCCTTGCTAGCTGACCCCTCTCTTGGCAGGCTTGACTGAGCTCTGTTCATTCTTTTTTCTTCTTTCTTCTCTCTCTCCTTTCTTCTACCACCCTTTCTTTCTTTTTTCTCTTTACATAGCTGAAAAACCATAATCATTTTTGCTTTGGCATTCAGTTCTACTTTCTCAGCTAATGACTAAAATTGCATTTTTTTTTGAACCACCTATATAACAATAGAGCCAGATCCCTAGATATAATACCCGAAAATATCTTCACCATTTCTCACCAATGTCTCTGAATGTTTCTTCCTTGAGCTGCCTTCTCCTCCGGTCATGACCATTCCAACACAAAGATTTTCCCCAAAGTTTCAACTTTGCTCCCTAGAAATACCAAACCTAAATCTCAGAAGCTTCTGTCCCCAAACCATCCTACCTCCAATTTCCCATGCAGAAGAGACTCTCTACTGTTATACACTTTGAGAGGATTGTGTTCCTTTCCTTCCAAATTACTAACTCAGTTATTTCATTTGTGTGACTTTAAGCTAGTGTCATTTTCTCTTGATAAATTGGAAATTTAATGAGGTTTAAACACCATGAAACACTCTAATTAGAGTCACTAGTTTAATATTTTCACTTCCATGATAACATTAACTTAAATAAGTCCTTGATTTATCTTAAACATTTTTATCACCAAATCTGTTTTTCAGTTCACTGTGAATGTTCCAATCAGAGGTCTTATAAATTGAGAACTAATATTTGCTACGTGTATATTCCATATTATAGAGTCAACATGTATTATTTCATTTCATGCTAATAAGCTTGTGGATATGACTAGTATATGCCATTTGACCTCATAAAACTGAGAGGCTTGGGACACGTTATTAAAAATACTTCAGACTTAGATTTTTGTTTTGCTCCAAAGCTCTGTTTCTGTCTACTGTATATACTTCCTCTTAAATCCCATAGCTAAAATCCATTGTTAATAAGCTGACCACAGTTCTTTTCTTTCTACTCCTTTCCAAGGAGATGAATTAGACACACTCAAGCTTTACTGAAGATTATGGAAATAAAATAATAGAGTGGTAAACTACTTGAAAAATTTCAGTTCTGTCATTTAACCTAGTTTTCAAATTGTATTGTGAATGAACTCTAGCCCTAGGAGCAGTTTATTATTGATAATACAATTATTCCCTAATTATCATCTACTTTTCGGATAATTTTTTAAAATTACATTTTAACTATTTAAAGCTCGGAGGATTTGGTTAATATAAACCTGTTGTGACCACATCTCAAGGTCTGTGCGTCCCAAGTTCTGCTTAGAAATAGTCTAATTGCAATTACAAGCATCTCACATTTTGTAAACAGTTTGAGTTCCAAGAGTTCATAAGTGAGTTGTTTGGAATCAGTGCGTATTTTCCCATTGACCTAATCTAATAAAGAATGGCTGTTTCCCAAGCTGCCATTTCTGTGTTCTCTCCTCCCACATTCTTCCCTCAAGTCTCAAAACAACAACAAGGGGAAACTCTGTTTAAACCAATGTGAATACTAAACCTACTTTTACTGCCCTGAGTGCTAGAGTATGCTGGGAAAAGAGCTTTGTGATTTAGTAAGGCACAGCAATTCAGCAGGTAAAGGTAGACTTTACACAAAAAAAGAGCCCCTTTTCTCCACGAGATTGCTCCTGGGTTTTTCTCTAGTAAGAACACCTGAACGAAGGAAACAGAAATGGAAAAGGGATAACGTTCACATTTTTTAGCAGGTTCATGCTGTTCATCTATCTGATATGTCTTAAAATCAGTGGCAAGTCTAAGAATGGTATGACTTCAATGTTACTTTTATTACCCAAATTTCAAAATCTTTTAATAGTTATACTTTTCATATCTCATCTTTCTCTGTACCAATAATCTCAGTAATAAAAGTATTTTATATAGTATGCTACATTTAAAAGAAAATTGTACACAGTAATGGATTAATTACCACATGATATTTTGATACATGTATATGTTGTATAATGTTGAAATCAGGTTAAACATATTTAACTCATTAAACATGTGAAATAATGTGTTCGTCTTGCTATGAGCAAAAGACCTGATAGGAATAATTAGAGGAGGAAGTTTATTAGGGACTCATGGTTTCAGAAGTCTCAGTCCATACATGACCAACTCCATTGCTCTGGGCTCAAGATGAGGCAGAACATCATGGCAGAAGGGCACGGAGGAGGAAAGCAGCTCAGGACATGCAAACAGGAAGCAGAGCTCTTCTCACCAGGGACAAAATATAAATCCCAAAGGTTCACCCCCAGTGACCTTCCTCCTCTAGCCACACCCTACCTGACTCCAATTAAAACACAGTTAATCCAAATCAATGAATCAATTCACTGTTTAGCTCACAGCTCTCATAATTGAAGCATTTCACCTCTGAACACTCTTGCCATGTCTCACACATGAGCTTTGGAGAGAAGACACTTATCCAATTTATAACATGGTGAAAAAATTTAAATCCTTTTCCTGTAGCTTTTTGAAATGTACGCTTCACTATTACTATCGAAAGTCATCCATCTGTGCAATAGCTCACCAGAACTTCTTGCTCCTAACTGTAACTCACTACCCCATTAATCAACTTTTCCCTGCTACACCTTGCTCTCCCCAAATGTGCTCTATTTTTTAATTGATTTCAGATTTTTTAAAAAATAAAATATCTTCATAACAAACCTTGAGAGGATGGACATCTTTTGTCATTATACCAATTTTATAGATGGAAATATAAGGCTTTGACATTAGAGTTCACTGAGTCTTCATAGGCCAAAAGCAACTCTATTCTAGGCTTTCCATGTCCCTATTTCACTTTCAAGGCTATTTCTCCATTGTTTGCCTCCGTCATATTTCACTCCTCCCTCTAGAGTCCTATTCCATGAGAAGAGGGATTGGTAGTCTACTGCATTATCCTGAACACCCACAACACTTATCCGACACTTAGTGACTAGTAATATTGAAAAAATGCATTTCAGTTATTAATTATTTGAACAACAATGCTATATACTTTTGCTGGTCAAAAATTAACTTTTTATAAGAGGTAGCATAATCTATGCTAAGAGCCCACACTCATTTTCCATAACAAATGTTCAATTTTGCCCTGGGCTGATGAAGCGTTTCCTCTACAGTCTTAATGACTTTAGTAAGCAAGGACTGATGGAAATGGAAGAAAATATCACAAAAGAACTACTGATTTCTTGCTGCGCTTCCCTGTGCTTTCTACCTTTTCAAAATTTTAAGAACAGTTCTCAGGGTTGATAAGGAATTTTGCAGCTAAATAATAATAATAATAATAATAATAATAATAATAATAATAATAATAATAAACCATTAAAAACAGCCCCAAATATCAAAACTTAACATCCAAAGTCAATAGAGATTGTGAGGGGTTGCCTTCTGGAATAAGCAACTTGAGTTAAACTTTTTCTGGTTCCTAAATTGTCTAACAGTTGATTTCTTGCATTATCTTCACTCTATTTATTTAAAGGAGACAAAGTGATAGGGAAAATAATCTGAAATTATGACTCCTGGAAGAAGAATAATAAGACCTTATGTTTTCCATCTGGTTTTTCAGGCAATGACTATAATGGTCAAAACCAAGGTTGACTGTCATCCCAAGGGCCACTTATCAATAGAGGGAGTCCTTCCAGAGCTTGAGGGGGAGGAAATAACATTAAACAAAAGGAAGAGAGAGAACAAAAACAACAACAAAAAGAGAGAGAGAGAGAGAGAGAGAGAGAGAATAAACCTTTCCAACAGCTGTACCTTTTTTTCCTTCATAAGAATTGGTCTTAGCCCTAACACAACTTTATACCATAAATGAAAACTGATGTTCATCAAACAGCAATATGCTATATGCCTCGCATGCATGACATTGTTTGACTGAGACCTTACCCAAACTTTGTAGGTCAACCACTATTACCTCAAAGAAAATCAAAACCTAGTACTTACACATGGGCACATAAATACAAAGTCCTAAGGGCCTTGAAGAGAGTCCTTTGGAATCTAGGGCCCTTGCACTTCACCTTTTCTGTTCTGCCTCACAAAGAACTGTATGTGTGTGTGCGTGCGTGCGGGCATGCGCGTGTGTGTGTGTGTGTGTGTGTGTGTGTGTGTGTGTGTGTTGGACCATGGACAAGCTGCAATAATTAAAAAAAAAATCTATAACCCTGCTTGTGCCTTGATTACTACCTTTCTCATATGAATCCTATCAAACAGCTTATCGGTAGTAGATGGATAGCCAGAATGCCAATGAAAAATCAGTGAGCACCCAGTGTGTAGAACAGGAACCATAACACAAGTACCTGGGAGGGGGCCACAGGTGCATCCCAACAATATCAGGTAGCTCTGGGTGAGTCTTATCTTCACTAAAACTATTTTTGAGGAGTTATTACATGTATTCCATTCTCTATCTCATCTCTTACTTCATATGTCCTACTGCTCTCCATGGAAGGAAACAGAATTCAGATCTTGGTTGCCCCTCTCCATTTAAAAAAAAAAAAAAAAAGGTAGCCAAGGAGAAGGGTGTCTATGGAAGAATCCAGAGGGTCATTTCATAGAGCATGGGATATGAATGCACCCTTCAACCACCCCTTCCAGCTCCCAACTTATCTTACATTTTAGTAAAGAGAGGAAAGAGATTATTTACCTGCTCCTATAGAGGCTGAAGCCTGAAAGTCATGTGTAACCTTTGAAGGACTGTAATGGTTTTAATCACAGGAATAACATCTTTTTGACAGGCAGGAGAGAGGAAAGAGCTGAACCACACTGCAAATATTAACCAGGCTATTTTGGAGCAATGGCTATTGCCTTTGAAATCTCTCACCATGAGTCTATACTTAGAATTCAGATGAGCCCAGGGGGAGGGGAATGGGGCAGTGTTAATCCCCAGTTGTTTTGAAGTTGTCTTGTAAGCAGGTTGGTGTCTAAACTGTCCAAAATGGAAGTGTTCGAGGCTTTGCTTAAATTACGGGATTCTCTCTTGTATTTTGGTTCAACCTGTTCCTCATACAGACTGTCACTTCACTCTGGGTGGCGACACGTCTCAGTTTTCTTTCAAACTAGATGTTCTAGAGAGCACTAGCTGCAGTCACATTGGGAGACTGATGCTCCATGACAGCTAAAAGTTGGATTGAGTTTCAGGAGCTACTATATATAAAGCTGGGTCGACTTATGTCACCGCACTAATTAAATGCCATCTGGGTGGTTCCTCTGGGTTTTGAGTCCATCACCCAGTTCAGATCGAGTCAGAGGCCAAGGAGGAGAACATGATGATGGACCTTTTTGAAACTGGCTCCTATTTCTTCTACTTGGACGGGGAAAATGTTACCCTGCAGCCGTTAGAAGTAGCAGAGGGCTCTCCTTTGTATCCAGGGAGTGATGGTACCCTATCTCCCTGCCAGGACCAAATGCCCCCAGAAGCCGGGAGCGACAGCAGCGGAGAGGAGCATGTACTGGCACCCCCAGGCCTGCAGCCTCCCCACTGCCCCGGCCAATGTCTGATCTGGGCTTGTAAGACGTGCAAGAAAAAGTCTGCCCCCACCGACCGTCGGAAAGCCGCCACTCTGCGCGAGAGGAGGCGGCTAAAGAAAATCAACGAGGCCTTCGAGGCACTGAAGCGGCGAACTGTAGCCAACCCCAACCAGAGGCTGCCCAAAGTAGAGATTCTGCGGAGCGCCATCAGCTACATTGAGCGGCTGCAGGACCTGCTGCACCGATTAGATCAGCAGGATAAAATGCAGGAGCTAGGGGTGGACCCCTTCAGCTACAGACCCAAGCAAGAAATTGTAAGCCCCAGATGCTGCCGGGGAGGGAAATGTAAAGGCTGATTAAACGCCTTCCGCGGGGCCTTAACTTCCAGCTGCCGAGTCTCTTCCCTTACTCCTTTCTTGCCTGCCCCTCCTGTTCCCTCTCTAGATGAACCCCCAGTGACCCAAGAAGACCAGGTCGCTCCAATAGGCAGGAAATGCGTACCCGGCCCAAGGAAGCAGAGGAGACACCCCCAGAAGGCCCCCCTCCCCCGGAATTTGTTTCTTTCCTAATCTGTGGCTTTGGTTTTCCCTCCAGCTTGAGGGTGCGGATTTCCTGCGCACCTGCAGCTCCCAGTGGCCAAGTGTTTCGGATCATTCCAGGGGGCTCGTGATAACGGCTAAGGAAGGTAAAGTAAAAGGGAGGGCACTGGGCTGCGCTAGAGAGCATCCCGGGAGGGAGCTGGGGTGTTCGCTCCGGACTCAAAAGTGAGCGCAGGGGCGCATCCTGCTAGAACCGAGCTCTCAGAGCGCAGGAGCGTGGTCTTCTCGCGCGGTCCAAGGGGCCTCCGGCGGGGCACAGAGCGGCCTGCCTCTTCCTTACACGGTGCATTGTTGGTGTGTGTTCCTCTTTGTTTCTTGTGTTCAGGAGGAGCAAACGTTGATTCGTCGGCCTCAAGCAGCCTTCGATGCCTTTCTTCCATTGTGGACAGTATTTCCTCCGAGGAACGCAAACTCCCTTGCGTAGAGGAGGTGGTGGAAAAGTAACTCTGGGCCGGCGCGTTCCACGCAGCAGGAAGACTCCTTCTCCACCTAATCCTTTAGATTAGGTCACATTCATTACCATTTAGACACCCAGACCCCAGATTTTAGGAAAGGGAAGGAGACATATTCACAAAGAAACTTGTTCAAACTCAAGCGAAAGGGCCTTTTGGCTTTGGGCTTCTATTTTTTTTTTTTTTTTTTTTTTGAAACCGCACGAGTGCCTTAGGTCTAGCATCCCTGTTTTGTTTTTGTTTGGTTGGTTTTGTAATATATTAACTTTTATTACGGCGATCCTTTGTGCCACATGCGAAAGAAGTTCATTCCTGTCTAAAGCGAAGTGGGAACGTTAATCTTAGTGGTACTTAATGTATTTTTGTATATAGTCTTAGTATGTTCATTTTTTTAATGTAAACTTAAGAAGTATATTTTAAATGTGGACTGATGGATTGTATATAAAATGTGTGAGGATCCTATCCTGGTATTGTAATATTAAAAATAAGTTTCTATATGAACAAAGTTGGTCTTAATTTGATTCAACTGGAAACATACATTTGAGGGCATGTGTACAAAAATAAAGAGGAGCCATATTTTAATTTAGACACCACAGAAGCCCATTTGTTGGGGTGCTTTCTTTCAGGCTGAGTAATTTTCTTTTGTCTGATTTAAACTGGGTAATTTAATATTTCATATAGATCTTACACTTGTAATTAGAAGTGAAGAGTATCCAGAAGGAATCTGCGTTTTCCTTTTATCAGCACCCATTTCTTTCTTCCTTTTCTTTGTCTTTTTTCCTCTTCTTACCATTCTGTACTTGGTGATCTGGGTATGGCTTACTTACCCAGAGTTAACAACTGAATTTTCAATCTAGTAAAATTTTGTTGGCAAGAAATTCCAAAACAAAATTCTTTTCTGATTTCCCTAAAAGATTTTCAGCTTATTTAATCCAAATTATTTTCCTCTCCTTGATGTTGCAGGCTGTTTCCCAGCATTGATATGAGTACCCAGGGGGCTGTACTGGCCTCCTCCACAGTTTTCTTGAACTAGACTGGTCCCTATCAGACTGGCATATCCTCAAGGCCTCTTTGGCCTGGGTTTGTTTTTCAAATACAAAGATAAAAGAAGGATGGGCTTCTTTGAAGGGTGGGTTGCTTTAAGAGAGGGAAAGGGTTAAATGGTTGAGGGCAAAAAACAACAACAACAACACACATGAAATCTCTTAGCTGGGCCAAACAGCAGAGCCCCAGAGAGACTCTAAGCCCCAGGAGTTCCTCATCATGAGGATTTTACAACGTGTGCCAGGTTTGTTTATCCTGTAACTTCAGGAAGAAAAGACCACCAAGAAACACAGTGGGAAGTGAAGTGGAGAAGAGGAGCAAGCCATTTCTTTAGAATTTCTACTTCTCCCTTCCATTCTCCAAAGCGTACCTTCACTTCCTACCTCCACCCCTTAATGTCTACCTTACCCCTCTACTTTACCTCTTTCTTCCCCACAGCTGATAATCAGCTCACAGATGTAAAAAACCAAACCCATTGCTGTATTTCCCTGTTCAACCTGGCTTCTTAACACTCCAAGGTCTGATCTTCCTTTTGTGCACCCCACGAGTTCCTGAGAATGCTGGAGATATAGCTTGCCCCTTTTTCCATTTTAGAAGAGAAACCCTCTTCCTAAGGGTAATACAGATTGAATATTCCTTATCCAGAAGTGTGTTGGATTTCAAATATTTTCAGATTTTGAAATATTTGTATGGGCTTTGTGGTTGAGCACCCTGAATCCCACAATTCCAAAATCCAAAATGCTCCAAAATCTGAAAACTTTTGAGCATCATATAGGCAGTCAAAAAGTTTGGATTTAAGAGCATTTCTGATTTAGAATTTTCTGGATTGAGGTGTGCTCAGACTGTAGTTAGTCTTCTGAGCACATGGATAATTGCAGTTTCTTCTCAAATACTTTTAGAATGCAGAGAGGGGAGATCCAGTAGTGCACTTGGTGGTTAGAACATGCTACTTATAAAACACAGAATACTTCATAGAGGAAACTGACATTGACATATAATCCCTTTTAAAGGTTTGAGAGAAGCAGGCAGGAGGTTTAAGGATGCAAACCACTGAGCCTCTGGAGGAGGTGGACCGCCTAGATTAAATTCAGGCTGCTACTGTGTAGCCCTGGGCTTGTCACTGCTGCTTCTTGGGCTTCATTTACAAAATAATAAGGACAACAGGGCCTGATTCCTGGAGTTGCAAAGATGCACTAAGATATATAAAGTCCTAAGCCAAAATAGTGACAAAATAAGCTCCAGATGCCAGATCACTTTATTTTTCATTAGTAAATCTAAATTGACCATCAAAAGGTTTTTCTTCCACCAAAAGTCCCAGTTCCTTCAGCCTTTGCTGGCTCTGTCTGGGGAAAGTATTCATAGCAAAGAGAACTGGGACAATGTGAATGAGCCATTCTTAGCAGTTTCCACATTGACTCATAATCCTTCATCAACCAGCCAGAGAGAGGTACTGTTGTTATGTCTATTTTAGAGAAGATGATCCTTTAGAATAGCCAGGTCCTTCCATGTGGCAAGAATAAAGCCCAGATGGCTGCAAGGTCCTACCCTCAACTACCAGGTATCTTGCAAGAGAAGCTTTGGGAAATTAACGTGGAAAACTTTATGGTCTATAGAGTAATTTGGTGGTCTTTGACAGTTGTTTTCCAAAAGTTCTTTCTCAATAGTGGTTAGCTAGTGAACTGGAAGTTAGAGCAGTTACATTATTTTTTAAAAATAAACTCTTTCGTGGAGTGCAGGGAATAAAGATATTCAATGTTCTCAACTACTGTTGAGGCTAGCAGAGAAAAATTGGGAAATGAAACCTGACTTTTAACCTTATTAAGACATTGTTAAATTAAACTTAGAAACATTTACCAATCACATTATCCAACCAAAATATGTGTGAATATGTGCCAGTTGCATATGTTCCCAATAATATCCATATTATATATCTGGATTTTTTTCCCTAGAGACTTGCTCTAAAATGTGTGTGTGTGTGTGTGTGTGCATGCGTACACACACACACACACACACACACATACCTATATTTTAAAGAATCAAATTCATTACACAACTAAAATAAAATGTTTTAATTGATGAGGTGAATTCATTTACTTTACAATTGCACATATATTTATAATAAGATTTCTCTTATAAATTGCTCAGCAACAGAATGCTTTTATTAAGTCACGGACTTTGCTTGTTGATAGATTTTATTCAGTCTTTGCAAACCAAATCCTCTCTATCTTTCTTAGCTAGCTAGGTAACTTGAGAAATTGTTTGGAATCCGTTTGCCTATGGAAGTCTCTTCGTTAAATAGAGCAAATATTTCCCAAAGACTTTGTGTGACCTCCACTGCTGTAGCTGACAGTGGATTTCCAAAGAAATCCTTGGTGTGTTTGCAATTAAAATGTTTTTGTTTGATATTAATGATGATAATCTTTACCAAGGCCAAAGCCAAAACAAACAGGGCTGTGGAAGCAGAAAAATCGAGACACAATAACTTGGTAAAGATAAGCCATTTGGGATTGAATCGGAGCCTCTTTTCCAGAGGCATATACACAGTTTTCAGGTATGAAGTAATGAGTGATTTTCTATTATACAACTATAGAAATAATTTGTGGAACATCGAATACAAGTTTTCTCAAACTATCTTCAATCATCATATCTGGATCATTGAATTCCAAACCTGAATATTGTGGAAATCCAGATATGCCAAGTGGTCTCCCTTTTCTTCCAAACTCTTTTGTATGTTTTTTGGGTGGGAAGGGTACTTAAATTCAGTGTTCCCAACTACTTTTGAGGCTGCAGAGCAAACTTGCTAAGTTAAAAGTAAACTTTATCCTTAAAAAGACATTCTTTAGTTAAAAGAATTTACCATTTGTGCTTTACTTAGTAATACCATATCCCATTTCTTCATTTTAAAACCCCCTTCCCACAACACCACTTAGGAAAATTTTTTTAAAAAATATATTTTTTTAAACTTTGAATATCTCATTGTCTAATTCTATGCATTTGTAAATTAGCAATAATATGGTATCTTCCCACAGGCCCCTCCAGTCATTCCCACAAACTAACTTAACTTGTAAAAGATGACCCTTGGTCCTACAGGATTCAGTCTGCAAAAAAAGCAATTTTTCTGCAAGCTGAGTTCAGAGTCAGTCTGTAAGATGGAATGGCTATGCCATGTGCTGGAACAAAAGATAATGCTATAAGAACTGGCTACTTTCTGGACTCTCAAGGCTGCTAAATGTCCTAACTTAGTCCTTTGATCTCTCTTGGGAGTCTTCGAATTCAAGCAGAGGCCAATGTCTTCCTCAGCTGTCTTCTCCACAAATTCTTCCAACAGCTCTGGCAGGTACTAATGTGTTTACTTAGGTGTGCCCCGGGGTTCTCAGAGCTAATAGCAGTTTGAAATTGCTTAGCATATTGTGAAGTCATCTATGATAACCAAAAATCCCAAGAACTCCCTTTTTCCAGGAGTTAATAGGGTCTGCTGATAGGGGCAGAAGTGAATTGAAATGGATTAATCTTTCCACATGTAACCTTTCTATGTATATTTAGTTTGTCCCACTAAGAGAAGTATGATGAATTTTCAGTAATACAGAATTTCTACAGTGGGCAAATTTTACTAGGAAAAAAGTGATGAACATCATATTGATGGTGTGGTCTGTCCATCGACAATAGTTCTTATTTTATTTTATTTATTTGTTAACATAGGTTCTGCTAAAATCAAAAGTTGACAGTTTCTTAGAGGTAATCTTATAGGTCACTGCAATTATAGCCTGTTTACAAAAGCCTGAGTCTTTAGAAAACTAAACGTGTATTTGTTTTTGTTCAGAATCTGAAATTCAAAATTGCAAATACATGAATTATCCATCTGTCTCACCAGCATCTTGGTAGGCATTCATTTTCAACTCTGGGTGGCTGGGTGCAGTGTGGCTGAGCTTTCTTTCCCACATCTGCTTACTGGGAGGCTTCCCTAGCAGACAGTGTTGGAATATTATTTCTAGAAACCTGTTTACATATTAAATAAATGTGAGTTTGCCCTGCTTGTAACAAATTCACTTCTCTGGAGATATAATGGAAAGCAGCTTATCTTTTCATTTCTTCCACGACATACAAAATCTAATCTAGTTTTATTTGGGGGTAGAAGAGGGCACATTGACAGCTAAGTTGTCTTTTTAAAAGCAGATCTGAACTTTTCCTATGCTTCCCGTTCAATTTCTCCACTAAATTTTTGTCCTCTATATGCGTATCCAGTTCCTCATTACCTCTCCCTCCCTCTTTCTTCCCCTCTTTCCCTCCCCGGCTTCTGAGAAAAAAACCCAACCAACCTCCCCTGAATCAGGGATCCCCTGTCATCTTTGGGGTGTGGGTTTCCTTCCTTCCTTGCATACTGCCTCCCAGTTTTTGATCTCACTCTTCTCTCACCTCTGATAGTGGTTTAAAAGTTTTGCCTCCATTTTTTCTTCCGTGCTCTGAGATCCTATTTTCAGCACTTGAGTCCCAAGGGCCCTCAACCCGGGACCCTGTTCCCCCCTGGCAGGTCTCATTAAGCCTCCTGGCGCTCATGTTTTCTTGGCTTCTTTAGTTCCACTCGCCCGCAGCACTCTGGTAAATTTGTTTTGAGATCACCTTACCAAAGACAGCCTAACCTCTGAGAACTATCCTTACTGACAGAGGCTCCTGAGTGACAGCGTCTTCCCGGGCACAGAAGCCAGGGCAAGATGTCCAGCATCCAGCATTTGTGAGTTTCTGCTCTAGTGCTGAGGAAGCACACCCAGCTGGAATTGATTGAAGAAAACAAACAAACTCACCTCTAACAGCACGATCTCTAAGGACACCCTGCCTTGTTTCCAATAAGTGTGACCTGGGGCAAATTATCTTATACGTTCAGTTTGCTTTACCTTCTTTTGAAAAATCGGTCTGATTATAGCTCTGACAGAGTTCTCAGGAGTACTAATTGAGTAAATATATGGAATGGGTTAAGAAGAGTTGCTCCGCAAGAAGAAAATTCTCAATAATTGTTAGCTACACATACCCCATGCTGTGGGGACTGGGTACAAAGCATGTTAAGTGCTTTCAGAAATTAGCTGAAAGGCAGGCAGAAGTGTAACTTCTATCTTCCACTTCAACTTTCAAGACCAAGTTTTTTTGGGGGGCGGGGAGGAGCGAGGATTGAATTCAGGGGCACTCAACCACTGAGCCACATCCCCAGCCCTATTTTTTGTATTTTATTTAGAGATTTTTTTGTATTTTTTTTTAGAGATTTTTTTTTTTTTTTTTTTTTTTTTTTTGTTGAGGCTGGCTTTGAACTAGTGATCCTCCTGTCTCAGACTCCCATGCCTCTGCAATTACAGGCTTGTGACACCAGGCCTGTTTGTTTGTTTCTAAATCACATTGCTTTACCTGCTTTACATATGCTAATGGTGGACAGTGGATGCCACAAGTGGGGGTGCTTTATAGTTGCTGTTTGTAGGGTTGCTGTTTGCTGACCAGAATCCTGGAACTTGGCTGTGAACTCCTGGATGAGAATATCTACTCACTATTGTATTTTAGAGGCAGTGATGTGCTGCTCATTCAAATGTTTCCACCAGTGTGATGGAGGAACCTGGATCCTTCAGGAACTTAAGTTTTATATCTGGGGTAGCCCTGCATTCATTTCAAAACCATCCACTTGTAAATAGGCCTAAGTAAGATGCAGATGGATTTCCCACGGGCCAGACAATTAAGCAGAGGTTGATGTGAAAAGAATTCTGATTTTCAAGGGAAATCATTGTCTTAGGGATGACAGAGTGGGGACAGAGGAGAGAAGAGAGGAAAGGCAAGGTAGTAAAGGTAGTAAACCTCATTTATGGACATTGTCACACTCTCATGCTGGTTTTAGGACCTTCACTTGGGAGAGATCTTAACCTGGGAAGAGTTATAAGTATCCTGGTAACTATAGGTGACAAATTAGCTAACCATGGTTGCTTTTAGGAAAGCAGTTTTGAAAAAAAAAAACCAAAAAACAAAACAAACAAAAAAAAAAAAACAAAGGAAAGTTCTACCCCACCCAATAACTTTTGAGTCACATATACTGAACTGGATATCCCTAGGTGAAATCCAGAGCAGTCCCTCTTCCTTTCTATGGGCCACAAGTCCTGGTCCAAGACCTCCAACTGTTTGTGTAGACTTTAAGTAATTGTTTTCCTAAATATAAACAGCATCTCCTCACTTCAAATGATCTGAAAGTGAGTTAAAAGTGTTAGTAATTACTAAGCTGATTGAATAGATTATTATTTAAATGTCACTTGCCTTCTATCCACCAAAATTTCAAAGACTGCTGCTGGGGATTGCTTTACTGGAAGGCTTTTGTCATTGAAGTGTGTGAAGTCACTCCTGGTTGGAAGAGTTGGAAATTTTACACTAGCCGGGGATGCTGTGCCGGCAGCTGGGACGCATCTGTAACGGTGTTAGTTTGCCTGAAAGCAGAAAATTAGCGACCCCAAAGCCCAGTTTGGCTGTTTAGTCTGTAGAAATGATCGGGCGGAGCACAGAAAGGGAAAAAAGGAGACTCGCTCCTGGAAAAGGACTTTGCGGGGAAGTCTGAGGTCCAAAACGGGACTTCTTCCATTGCCACTTAGAGACCCTTTCAGTGCGGATCATCGGCCTGCTCAGGGTCTAGCCGAGCCCTGGCACGATGTAGGAGGCGCTCAGCGAATATATGGAGAAGGGAGAAAGGAAGAAAGCAAGGGCGGGAGGAATGTGCCCGGTCTACTGGCTCTCCTTAGCCCACTTAAGAAATAACAGGGAGAGCGCCAAGCCAGTGCTGTCTTAAGGAAGCTCCCACCCATCTCTCCCCATTCACATAACGCCTATGAAATGACACCCTGATCAGAAATTCACTCACCTCAATCCTTTCAAAATAGCTGGTAAAAGAAAAAGAAACTCTGGAATCACTCCATGATTGAAAGGGTCACTTCAAGTTTTTAGCAACCATTATCGAATTCATTGAAAAAAAAAAACTGCTAGGAAATATTTCATGGGGGAGAAAGAAAGGAAGACAGAGACAGAAAGAAACCTCCCCAGATTGGTTGATTTCTCCTGTCCAAGACTGAAAGGGCAAGTAGGCTTTTGATGTCAGCTGAAAAGTAGGGAGTTCTGATGACTCTTAATCACTATCAATCCTGTTGTGAGTGAACAACTGCCATAAGTTGTTGCCTTTGTTTGTTACACTCTAGGTGGTCCCTTAATTTAGGTTAGTAGAGTGCAAGTGAGCAGGTAGGGAAACCATGCCCGTGTCCCAGCAGAAATGCAGTAAAGCCATTAGCTTCAAAAAGTGGGGGGAAGTAAACAGCAAATTGTCCCCAGAGGAAAGGCAGAGGTTTGCCCAGACAGCCCCTGCGGGGGTTAGGGTGGGATATGCTAATAGTGCCCGACTACTGGGGCCAGCCTCCCTCCCCCACCCCCAAGAATATATAAAGAGCCCCAACCCCAGCCGGCCGACCCAGGCCAACGGGCGTCTGCCCTTGTTAATTACCGGAGAAACCAACCAGGGAGCTGCGCCTGGGATTTGCCCGACTGCAGTGGCCCCAGGTTCGCGTTTCTCCTTTATCTCTCCCGCTGCTGTCTAGTAGGTGCACTGCTGGCCTGTTCGCAGGATGGACATGATGGACGGCTGCCAGTTCTCACCTTCTGAGTACTTTTACGATGGTTCCTGTATCCCGTCCCCTGAGGGTGAGTTTGGGGATGAGTTCGAGTCACGAATGGGTGCCTTCGGGGCGCACAAAGCAGAGCTGCAGGGCTCAGACGAGGACGAGCACGTGCGAGCGCCTACCGGCCACCACCAGGCTGGTCACTGCCTCATGTGGGCCTGCAAAGCGTGCAAGAGGAAGTCCACCACCATGGATCGGCGGAAGGCAGCCACGATGCGTGAGCGGAGACGCCTGAAGAAGGTCAACCAGGCTTTCGAGACACTCAAGAGATGCACCACGACTAACCCCAACCAGAGGCTACCCAAGGTGGAGATCCTCAGAAATGCCATCCGCTACATCGAGAGCTTGCAGGAGCTGTTGAGGGAACAGGTGGAGAACTACTACAGCCTGCCGGGACAGAGCTGCTCAGAGCCCACCAGCCCCACCTCCAACTGCTCAGATGGCATGGTAAGTCACAGCTGTGGTACCTACCCTCAGCTTCCCCCAATCTTTTCTAAAACTCCTTTAGACCCCAATTAAATCAGGTGAGATGAAATAGGCTGGGGTACAGGCAGTTGTTGAGTGGCTTTAAGAGAAAAGTGGTGTCCAGATTTAGAAACATGCCAGGAAAAAAACCTTGAATGCGATTTTAGTTTGACTTCCTAGCAGGTTGTAGATAGACATTGTCGTAGAGATTTGGCACCAAGATAGGTGCTATGATATTTTCTCCATTACTTGGTTTATTTCCAAATTATATCACCGGCAGCCCCTGCCATATATTAACATCTAAAGGCAACTATCTGAAGCTCTCCCTGCCCCAGAGTTTATAACTTAATGAAGAAATAAAAACATCATGGCCTCAGTCCAGGCTCTGCTGAGGCCTGGCTGGAAGATTGTTGGTGCATTCTTTTCAGAGGGCGTTTGCTCCAATGCTGCCAGGTTTTAATGTGTTTTTGCCCTGGGAAAATATTCTCTCCCAGAATTAGTGTGGCTTCCTTCTATTCCAATCCATTTTGCATGGTTAACCCAATGCACATTGCTGCTGAATTCCACCCCTCTTTGCTTTGCTGTTGTTCTCCTCTTCTCCCAGTACAGAGATTGACCTCTGTGCCCTGGCAATTTGGAGAGGGCTAACCCTTCCTAAATCAAGGCAATGAAGGTGACTGAGAGTGGTCAGTTTACAGAGCTTGTGGCAAGCACCGCCTTGCCCTAAGTCAGTTTTGCCAAACCTGTAAACAAATATCTTTTGTTTCTTGTATTATAGCCTGAATGTAATAGTCCTGTCTGGTCCAGAAAGAGCAGCAGTTTTGACACTGTCTACTGTCCCGATGTGTCAAATGGTAAGAATTGATAATTTCAGAAGCATTTAAAGGCCAGTTCAACCTCACAATTCAGTCTATCATAGAAGAGTCTATCTTCCAGGTAGTATTGGTAAAGGGAAGGAAAGGGAATGTTCTTGTGGAGAGGCTGTGGCAGAATAAAATACATTCACATTTTCTGCTCCCAATCCCCCCCCCACACACACACACTTTGAAATATTACCAGGGGGCTTCCTCACTCCACACTCCACCCTCAGGAATTGCCAGATATTTGCTGCAAATTCTATATCAGGCTTTCTGTGATCACCTGACCTTTGGTGTCAAGAGAGCTGACCTGTAGCTTAAGGGTCAAATAAGCAAGTCTGTCTATCTAGGGATAATTTTTTTAATGTTTTTCCCCTTGTATTATTAGTATATACTACAGATAAAAGCTCCTTATCCAGCTTGGATTGCTTGTCCAGCATTGTGGATCGGATCACCTCCTCAGAGCAACCTGGGTTGCCTTTCCAGGACCCAGCCTCTCTCTCTCCAGTTGTCAGCACTGATTTGCAGCCTGCAACTCCAGGGGCTTCTAGTTCCAGGCTTATCTATCACGTGCTATGAACTAAATACCTAGTCTGAATCAGTTTTGCCAGGAGGGCCCATTATCCAAGAGGAGAAGGCCAACAAGTCCAGAATGAAGACAACATGTATATAATGATTTCTTTTCAGTTGTAAATTTGTACATATTACCTTGCCACTTTATAAGAAAGCATATTTAACTAAAAGTTATGGTTACAATTAATACTTTCTCCTTCTCCTCCTTTTCTTCTTCTTTGTCTTTAACTTCATCTTCTTTTCTTTAGTTATATAGTTCCAATAATATTATTTCTGGTGGAGGTAATTCATTGAGGGTAGCTTGTTGCAATGCTTAACTTATATTTTTTATATAAATATTGCTCATCAAAATAATATCTTTGTTGTTTAGATCTTTATTTTTTCTTCAAAGCATTTTAATATCTGGAATCAGTTACAGGGAATTTGAAATATATTTAACTTTTGCTCTTCTCGTTAATCTTTTGTTATATTGTATTAAATAAAAATAGAGCAATACTGCCTTATGGTATATACTTTGATCTTTTCTTATATCAATAAGAAATTTCTGATAAGAAATGCATCTTTTCAATGTAAGCACTAAATAGTACTTTGTGGATAATTTCAAGATATAAGAAATTTTGGAAATTCCACCATAAATAAAATTGTTTACTAAAAGAAATATTTTGGTTCTTAACTTTTTAAAAGAACAACCCTAATCATGTCATCAGTCATTAATGTAAAATCTTTAAAGGTGGGCTGAACATAAACAGTTGTTTTATAGGTAAATCTGAATATTTACCATCTCATGGACTACTTTAGGAACTCTTGATGTCACAAGTAAAAATATCATATTTCTATTTTAAACATATTTCAAGGGAGCCTGTTAAAGGAAAACTTTTCCTTTATCTTATTATTTTATATATAATGTCAAGTTTTGTGTGTGTGTGAAGGGAAAGTAGAAGTTCTTCAGTACAACATGTTTAAGCTAAAAGACCGCACAATATTACATGATTTTAATATCTACAATAACTTAGAAATCATGAGTTAAGTCTTGTTTACTTTTCCTTCCTGCCTGAAACCATCTTGTTATATTAATATGTTAATATTGTCATTAAAATTGTTTAAAGGAATTGGACTGACTTTCTGTGTTGTTAGAGTGCCAGCATAAGAAAACTAACTCAAAGGATCCCTAAGAGAAGCAGACTTCAGGCTGTGGTTGTCTTCTTTTTTGAGTTTAATAATTGTGTATGTGCGTGTGTGTGTGTGTGTGTGTGTGTGTGTGTGTGTGTGTGTGTGTGTGAGAGAGAGAGAGAGAGAGAGAGAGAGAGAGAGAGAGAGAGAGAAAGAGAGAGAGAGAGAGAAAGGAGGGAGAGAAATGGACATATGTCATCACCTTAAAGCTCTTCCAGAAAGAATTGAGATGAAAAATGAAATGATTAAGTGGAAAATTAGGTTGAAACAACCTTGGGATAATTCTCCCAAGTTTGCACTAGAGAGAAATAAGAAAGAAACATCCCTGAAACATTAAAAACAGCTGTTAACAAAGAGCAAATATAAATACTTATTTCACCCTCTAATTTGTGCCTTAATTTAAAATTGCTAAGAGTTTGTGGTTACTTATACTAGCCAAAGCAGACAGGCTCTGTTAGAGTTTGGCAATACTAAAGTTCTCAGAAACATTCCCTTCTTTCTGATGGGTTTTCTGTGCTTGACTAGTCACCAGGCTTAAAGAAATCTAAATCATTTGATACAGGAAGGAGAAGGACTGATTTCTAAAAAAAAAATATTGAGGTCATTGTAAAATCAACATGATACGATGTTAGTATCATGGCCTGATATGGAATACTGACTTTTAGCACACAAGTAAGTGCTTTGGGAGTGTCACTGACTTGGGGGTATAAGGATTTTAGGTGAAGAGAATTCAAGAGGTCATGATAGAGATTTATATAAGGTTTCAACACAAGTTTGAGTTATTCACTTATATTAGACACTATGCTAGGCACATTTTTTTCCTTTTGACATTTCTGTAGAGAGGTTGAGGATTTGTTTTTAGAATGAGAAAGAAAAACCTTTTTAAATATTTTTTAAAATTCAATTCACATTCTGTTCTATTTCATAAAAACTAAGCAGATAAATGACAGAAAACTATTAATTCAAGGGAATTAATTTTTCCTTACCAAATCCCATTTACTTCTATAACTTTGCAAGTGTATTCGATATTCTTAGTAAATATAATAATGATTGAGTTTTTAGAGCTTTTCCAGGGATCTGGATTTAATGCAAACCGTGAGTATTGTTTGATTAAAGACAATAGGATTTGTGCCAGGTTGGACAATTACTCCTATTTCCAATGTACCAGCACTGAATACTCAGTATTCAGTGTCTACTCAGAAAATGGCCCAGTACAACACATCACTTGCAGCCATATGTGCTTACTTTTGGATATAAAGCCTTTGTAAATTGGTTTTCCATGGGTTCAGATCCAGAGAAGTCTTTCTTACTTCAAGAAAGTAGCAGGGGAAAAGGAGTGGAACAAACAAAATGTTTTGAGTGAGGAGAGGTTTCTGCCATCTATACATCTCCAGGAGTGAACAACTGAGCTACTTCTGAGTTTGTTATCAGAGCCCTTCACCTCATCTGGTGAGAGCCTTTGTGCTGCTGTGACCAAAGGACCTGACAAGAACAATTACAGGAAGAAAAGTTTGTTTGGGGGCTCATAGTTTCAGAGGTCTGAGTCCATAGTTGACTGACTCCTTTGCTCTGAGCCTGAGGTAAGGCACAACATGATGGTGCAGGAGTGTGGTAGAGGGAAAATGCTCAGAGTATGGAACCAAGAAGCAGGGAGAGAGTGGGGGGAGAGAGAGAAAGAGAGAAAAGGAGAAAGAGAACATGCTGGTCAACAGGACAAACTATGTACCTCAAAGTTGTGCCTCCAGGAATCCACCTCCTTCAGCCACACCCTACCTGCCCATAATTACCACTGCTCAGTTAATCCCTAACAGGGGGGTTAATGCACTGATTAGGTTAAGGCTCTTGTAACCCAATCATTTCACCTCTACATTTTCTTGCATTGTCTCATGCATGAGATTTTGAGGGACACCACATATCTAAACCATAACAACATGCAACCATCAAATTTTAGAAGCAACTAGGGCAATGTCCCTATCTACGTCTGCAAATCTGATGGGGAAGAGGTTCTCAAGACATGAGTCCAAAGAGCATCTCTTTTCCTCATGCATGCCTGGGAAATGCAAGTTCACTAAGTTACATATGAAAACTGAATCCAATGGTATTTGAAAGCAAGATGCTGTACAACTCAGGATGTCTTGATTGTCTCATTTTCCTCTCATTTGAAAGATGCAATACAGATAAAATTAATGGCTATATAATAACCATAAATTGCTATTTATATGGTATTCTTAACAATTCTCAGATTAATCTGAGAGTGGTATTTCCTGAAATTTTCTCTTATGACAGTTACTAGGTTAAAGTGGTAATATAATTCTTTGACTTGCGGAGGTGGTATTTCTGGATATCAGAGTGCAGCTATTTGTAACTTCAGAAAAGCTCTGCTCAAATGGCAAAGTATCTCTGAAAATATCACCACAGAATGTCTCCATATTGTCCCAAAAGCACAGGCCATCAAATTTATTTTAAGAATTCTTATTATGATACTTTTGTTGATTTGTGACTTAGCTTATGATAAGATTATAAATAGTCATCACTAAAATCATTAGTCTTATAATCTTAAATAAGTAATTCTTTGTTAAAGGGAAAATAAGAAACCCTAATTCTATATCATTTAATTCACTTCTCTATCACTTGGGAATGGTGATAAAGCAGCAACTAGCAATTATTGAGTGCTAATCATTATGCATATAAGGAAATGGAGGCTTCAGGAGTTTTATCATTTGCCCAAGAAAACACAGTTAGCTATTTGAGTTTCTTCACAGTACATGTTTCATGAGACTCAGGCAAGAGTTGCAAGGCTTCTTATGAATTTGTATTAGAAATTCTTTATGACTTAGTATTAGAAGGCCCAGAACATTACTTCTGCTATATTCTTTTGGTCAAGAAAGTTACAAAAGGGAGCACAAAATCAAGAAGAAGCAAAGTTAACTCCCCCTTGAGTGGAGGAAACAGTAATGAATTTGATTCCGTATTTAATCTACCATAATAACTGTCTCCGCATCCATATCATTCACCCACTCCACTGATTTCTGCTTCTGTCCATCACTGTCCATAGTCATCAATAACTTTCAAATCAATGGACTGTTTCAGTCCTGGGAAAGTTTATACATCTATGCCAGATGTCTCCCCCAATCTTAAGTCCTATATACCCAAATGTTCCAAAATCTCTCAGAAGTCTCAATGGCATCTCAACATACTCCAAATTAAGTCCATCATATTACCCCCTCTTGCTACCTCCAAAATTGATCTCCTTCCAATGTTAACACTCCCAGTGAATGATATTAGCAGCTATGTAAACATGAATTTTAGGCCTTATTCTGTTATCTCATAACTCTCTCTCTCCATCCTCTTAACCAATTCATTATAAAATCCTATTGATTTACTTTCCTAAATACTTCCCAGATCTCTACCTTTAATCCAAACTATGGTTATTTTTCTCTGGGACTGTCTTAAGATCTTCTTAATCTGTCCCTCTATAATTCTTGTCGATCTCCTACTTCTGCTATAGCACTCATGTTTTGGGGGGTGGGCTGTCCATTTCCTTTTCTCCGGTCATGCTGTTCAGGTAGAATCAATAGAACAACTTGGCTCCAAAGGTGAGCAGTTGTTCAGTTCATGAGTACGTTTTTTTTCCCCCTGTGGCCATAATGATTGTTTCATGGATTGACATGGGAACCAAGTTGCTCTGTAAGTGCCAGTTCTGGAAATTTTGCTGGAGCTACAGGGAAAAGGAGGCTCTCTTTCTGTTGCGATGATAATATATGAGATTTTTGCCTCTAGGCTGCCAGCTGTCATCTTACCCTTAGAAAGGAGACCTGCCTAAAAATAAAGTGAACACAGTACAAAGCAGAGCTGTGATGCACAGAGATATATAGCTGAA